AGGGAATAAGACGCGGGGCCGAAGGCGGCTTTTCTTTTTTGCTTTTTTGGATGTGGTGGATGGGATCCACGCGCCTTCAAGTTCCGTTTAGATAAATGATACAAAGGATGGAATTCCGCTTTTCATATCTACGAGTTTTCCATCTTTACCATATTATACAGCCGCGATGAGAAGGGGATTCCGTGGTTCTAGATAGAAATTGGTATGGGTACAAGTACTGATAGGACGGTACTGTATGAGTAGGTACGGACAGGTAGCAAGAGATCAGGATGGTTCCAGATCATTGCCAGTACCCACCATCACCCCCAGTATCAGATTAACAAAGTCCCCTGTCTACCTACTTCTGCCCAGAGAAAGCCATCTACTCCCATCCCTCACCACAAACACCCAAGAGAACCATCCTCCCTCATTTAGAACCCTTCATATCGGATTCAGAAACAAAGGTCCTTCCTTTACGAAATCTCCTCGTATTTCCCCCTTTCCATTCCCAGCACCGGCACGAGTAGTTCGAACTTCGTCTCCCCGCGCTGTCAGAAACGACCCAAAAGACAAAACATGACGTTTTGATTTTTTTTCTCTTCTCTACTCGTATCTTTCTTTCGTTGGAGTAGAGGGTTGTCATTTGTCATGTATCTTTAAGAAAGAGTTCGAGGGGCTCTGAATAAGCGCATCTGTCCAACCACATTTAGCGTTTCTCGGCAAGCTCTTTAAGGGATATTAAGGAGATACCTCTTTGGGGATCTCACTTGAGAGGGGGGGGAAACATGTCAGATGAACTTGTTACGCTAGGCCAGTCAGTCGACGTGAGCAGATCGTAAGTAGGTACAGTACCTTGAGTTAATTAATTTTACCTAGCTTTCTCTTGCAAGCCTGCGAGCCAGGCTTACTCCTACAGAACCAATCCAATCCACGATACGTCTCACGTACCAGGGCCCAGGTACATACATACACGATCCTTCAGCCCTATCCCATGCCATCCCATGCCATCTCAAAAAAAAAATCCTGACCTAAACCCCTCTCCACCCAACAAGGTAGTTCTAGATCCCTCCATCAAAGACAAGAAACAAGCGATAACGTTTTCCTCTCTGTTTCGTTTACAGGATCCGCCACTGTACTGGCTACTGTACAGCACTGACTGTTGCTGTCCTGCACAGTAAACATATCTGCAAAGTCTCAAGTGCAAGTGCGAGACGGCAGAAACCAAATGGGATCTCGGACTCCCGTCGTGGAGCTCAACATGAGATCCTGGACTAGACGTGACAACGACATAGGGCCACCGCTACTTGTACACTAAGGTTGCCCGGAGAGTTTGAATTTCTACTGAAGTACGAAGTAAATCGTAATTGATTGCAAGTGCTATACGGGAAAAGCTCCGGTCCTCTAAAATGACAGAGGTAAAAGGGAAGGTGGACGGGAAGATAATGCGATTTTTCTATACTTGTAAACTACTTGCCGCCAGGAGGATTGCTAAAAGGGGATTTGATCAAGAGAGGATTGCCGTAACGGTGGTAGATGATTAGAGAAAGGGTTCTGAGTTGGGAAGTGTTAAACGTTAGAAGTAGCAAGTTAGGACGATCCTCGCATGCAAACCTACTGTAACTAGGATCTGGAAGATCCCTTTCGACCCTTTAAAAAAGACGGGACCAGATGAGCGACCATGCGAGATCAATGCTTTGCATCCTTCAGCATCTAGTGGCTTGTGTGATTACTGGTATCCCATACTCAATCTTTAGTATACTCCAACACCAGTACCGGAATTCCCAACCTTATCGCAAACTTGTTGTTATTGAGGTGGATGTGCCGTTTGGGAAAGATTGAAATTGGATCAGCACGAATATAGAAATAGAAAATTGGAATTTACGAAGTATCGGAAGACAAAGTCGGGCAAATCTCGCAAGATTTACAGTGCAGAAACTGTACTGTCCCTCAATTCGGAGCTTTACAACTTGCACAGCCAGCCCGTCAAGCGCAGCACAGCCCAGCCCGGTACAGCCAGCCCCTCCACGAACATGCGCCGCAGCAGCTGACAACGGTACTGGTAGTATTTTCGTATATATTTTCTTCATCGGCCCTATCTGGCATCTGCAGTCGACGGTGTAGAAATGAGTCGAGCTCTGCTGCGGGAGCGACTCGCTATCTCGCATAGCCATTCCGGTCTGCGAGTCCTGAAAAGCGAGAGGGAAAAAGCTGACCAAATCCGGGGGGGGCACATCATATCTCACTAAACCCGTGGACCTAGCTATCGTCATCCAAGAGGTTGGCCGTGGGCTGGCCTCGTCGGCTCATGGGATGTCCCTGGTAGATAGCTTGAAGGCGCTGCGGTGACTCCCGCCCGTGGGATCGGAGACCCAAGGAAAGTCTAACAGAGTATTCTGTAACAAACCACAAACCTGCCCTTTTGGAAACAGGAGACGACGGCAGAGTAGAGCAGAGAAGAGCTAGCACGGCGAAGTGTAAAATTGAGTTGGGATTGGTGGAGGGGTAGAAACATCGGATTTAGACCTTTTGACTTTTTCAGATGTTGAGGGCGGGTTGAGACAAGGAGCTGGAGAGCTCGGTTAAGCTTGCGGATACTGTTACTGAAGTCTGCTCTCCCTTTTTGACTCTATCTATTTGGGGTACTTGAGTACTACTTGTACTACTGTACTTTGACGTAAAAGTGAGATAGAGTGTTGTTCTGATGGTGATGTGATGTTGCGTAACCTGGATACTGTAATTTTTATTTGGGGTTAGCTCGGGTATGAAGGGAAGGTTACTTGCTGTCTTGCAGGGTTTTGGTTGATCGGTCCCAATACCGAGAGAGAAGGAGTGCAAGGAGTGGCAACCTCAGCTGCGAGGTACGGTTGGTAGGTACGCCTAATGGATGCACAAGAGCAGTTTAAAACGATCTTTTGGTTGTTGCTGGGAACTATCCAATTGCCTTGTGCTACAGTACATCTAACTTCCAGGTTCCAAGCTGCATCAGAGACACGAAAGAGAGACTCGATGTCATGGTCGTTGGACATGACCCAGACATCGGGAGGGTGCAGAGTTACAACCATCCATACCATCGATCTAGAAATCTCGAAGGATAGGATACCCGGATGAAAGCATATCGGATGCCCCAGAAGCTGGGCCTCAACCATGCCATGCCTTTTGCGGTCGGTTGGTGGCTTTGGCACTTCGTGGGACGCAGCCACCCTCCGACATCTCACCATCACGGTGCCAATAATAATGCCATTGATCTTCCAGCTATCATCTTTGGAAAGTGATGGATGCGTGTGATGGGAAGAAAAAATCCATTTCTTCCCCAATCGTCTTTTTTCTCGCACCTCCAATTCAAATCCACCCCCTCCTCGTCCCCTGTGCACACGGAATTACGGGAGGACAACGTGGGGTGTGACCTGGCATGGCACAAGTGAACAAAAGATCCGAATGAAGAAAGTAAAGTAAGAGCGGGGTGAGTGGCTGGACGAATGACCAGACGACATGAAATATTGAGTGATGATGCTCTGCCAGCTATGCTATGTAGAATGTAATGTGTACGACAACTCTCCATGCTATGCCAGATGGCAGCCGGAGCTTTGAAGACAGCAACTTCCCCCTCTCTACTTGCCATGCCAGTTGTCAACCGCTGATTCAATTGAATGGAATCTTTTGACTCTTCCAATCCTCGCCATAATGACAAAGTTGGATTCCCTAATGGCCGATGATGATTGATGATAATAGCAGTAGCGTAGTGAGCTCAACTACTGGATTGGGCGTGGTGGATCTGATATTTATATATCCATGCTACGCAACTTCTGAAAATGGATTCGAGTGGGTAATTGTCATTTTCCCCTCACCTCCCGATCTTCAAAGATATATTTATTCCGAACCACTGCGAGTTCCATTCTCCTCCCACCCTCTCTCGCCTCTATCCACCATCTTTCCCCCACCCAATCCCATATTTTCTCCCGTCCATCCACCTGCAGCCCGATCCCCGAAGAAGTTGGATGCAGCTGTGCCTGGCTACTGCTGCTTCGCACCTCCACCGAGATATGCGCGGGGCACCAACAAATAGACGAGCACCTGCGGCTATCTTTTCTTTTCTTTGACCAACAGTGTAATGTTACGAGTACTTGGAACCATACAATTTGACTCTTTATCCTTTCCCTTCGGACTTAAACACCCCCCCGGCCAAAATCCCCTATTGCCCCTATAAGTTTAGCGAATGCGAATGACCCGAGCGAGCGGTGACGCCGAGAGACAGCGGATATGAGTGGTAGTGATGATGACCATGCTGATGCTATCCGCGGCTTGTCTTGGGCCGTTTGTAATCGCGTTGCGTGCCAGCGCAGGCACATCACCAATCATCATTATGGGCAATCGAGGTGGGGAAAGGGGGGTCGTGAATGGCTTCCGAAGGACTTCTACTTCTAGCTTCCATCTCTTTGTGGCTCCGTATTCTTGTACTGAGCGTACTGGTACCTTGTATTGCTCTAAGCTCTTTGAGTGTCACCGCTAGAGTCAGACTAGCCAGACTAGCCAGACCGTCGCCCATCTGCAGCGTGACTCCGCCGTTGATGGGCTCATGCTGCCATTCATGGTCCGCCCAGCTTCCAATTGCAAGTGGTGGTGGTGCAGTACAAAGTTGGAGTGGGGAATTTGGCCTGGGCAGCAACGGAGGGAAGCGCAGCCCAGGGCAGGTGTTTGAGGGCGGGCGCTGCCTCTCACTGCCATACCCTTACTTCCGTACACCTACGAGTACGGACGGTCACTGTATTCTTGCCCAGTGTGTTCTGTGACGGTGTTTGAGATTGACTGGTTCTTGATTCTGGATTCTGGATCCTACGGCACTCCCATTCTAATCCTCTGGCACCTCGCCGTCCGTTAGTTTCAGGTGTTTCTTCAAAGGCAACCCCAGCCTGAAGCGACTCCCCGGAGCCCCAGAACAGCTACTGCAGCCTACAGCCTACGGGAGCACGCTGGAGACTTGGTGAAGAGAGAGAGCCCACTCACCTGCACCTCCACCTGCACACGCTAAAAAGCCTCGACAGGGAAGGCGGGTACAGGCTCCATCCCGGTCGGCTAGTGCCCCGTAGGCTGCGCTGCGTACAGGCTATAGGTCCTTCATAAGCCCCATACTTCGTACAGGCTTAGTCTCGTCCAGAGGTGACTGGCCTGCTGGACCCACCCTGCTTGTCGGCCAGTCAGTGCACAGCAACAGAGACAAGCCCCCGGGCAGACGAACGTTCAAGGCTCCCAAACAAAGATTCACATCCCATTCACTACCGACAAACTCGACACCACCCCAACCCACCACCACCACCACCACTCTCCTCTCACTCTCACGCTCACGCTCCTTGCTCCTTGCTCATTGCTCATTGCCAAACCCTCCTCGGCCACTCCCTTCCCCTCCATCTCCTCACGACCGAGTTGCGGTGTTCCCTCTCTGCACTGCTCAATTCGGGTTCTGCTGTTACTACTCTCTCTCCTCGCAGCTACGCTTCGCTTCGCTTCCTCACCGAGTCCCGACCTCTCATTTCCCTCGAGCGTATGCCGAGTGATATCGCTTTCATGTACTGAACCTCACTCCTCCCGCGGTCGTGATTTGGCAGCGAGCCACCACCATCTCACTACTCTTCCAACCGCACTTCCCAACTACTCGATCAACGAACAATCCCATACCATCCAACATGAAGCCATGCTTGGTTTTCCCAGAATCGGGCGTGGAGCTGCGGACCTCGTCAACTCCCACCTCCGCCGTCCCAGCAGTCCTCGGCCTCTCTCTGTCCGATTCAGTGCTGGAAGAGATGATAAAATGTGTGCAGAATGGAAAACCAATACAATTGTCCCTGGGGGAGCATCCCGTACGTAGAACCATCAATTCCCATTGTTATCGTCGAAGAACGACCCCATTGTCGTGGGTTCTGGGTGAAGCGAGCCTAACCCCCGAACGACCTCGCTTGCTGTTGTCACTAGAGATAGGACGTCAGAAGAATAAGATGTCAGAATACTATTCACTAGAACTGTACTAACAATGACGTCCCTCGACAGAACGTTACTTATGGCACCAAGACGCAACATCTTTCCACCACCAACGATCCTTTCACCCACGAACTTTTCTGCAGTACGAACATCGACTCTGAATATAATTCCTTGAGCACGGAAACCATGGCCTTCTCCGATCGCAACGGAAAGAGCGTTACCTTTGGTACCCCCGCATTCAAAGCCCCCTTTCGCAAAAAGCACTTCGTACCCGGTCCCAAGCCTGCTGCACGAAACCTGGCAGCTTCCAAAGCCGCAACCTCGACGATAGAAGGTGCCGACAATGCATTGGCACAACTACAAAATTCATTGGCATCGGAGAAGGAGAGAAAGTTGGAGAATACGTAAGTAGTGGGCGAGGAATGAGCGAGGAGTGGAATTAACCTGTCATAGTACCAAATTGATCAAGAATGGACCTGCTCCATCACGGAAAGGTGCAGCTTCGAAGATAACAGGAAAGACCAAGATGTTACAAGTTTCTCAGGCCAATCGATCGATGCCTGTCAGCCCAGCTCTTTCTGGAGTTGGTTCACCAGCGCTCGGTCCAACCTCCGTTCCGCTTTCCGAGCAAAAGGCAAATCAAGAAAAGCAATCTCGAAAGCCTATCATTCATTTATTGGCCTCGGCTGATATGACAGAGCGCCAGATCAGAGATCTGCTCCCCAACGCCGACGAAAGTGATTTCAAGTACCAGCTCACCAAAGTTGCGGACAAGGTCGGAGAGAAATACGTACTGGCCAAACGATATTACCGAGAGTTGGATGTTTGGTCTTATGATTACCCACACCAAGATGATCGACAGCGAGCAATCGACAATGCTGTGAAGCGATACGACAACCTGCGAATAGGTGTATCGGAACCAGAATGGGACAGATTATTGCCAAAGGCTGAACGAGGCACGGGAAAGTCGCTAAGCAAGCTCCAAGGTTTAATTGCACAAGGGTTAGCAAAGCTAGGCCCCAAAGTCGATGATGGATCGGGAAGAGATACCTCACCTGGTGAGGATGAGGAGCTGGGAGCGAAGAAGAAGAAAGATACCAAGCCGAAAAAGCTTACAGAGACACAAGCTCAAGCTAAGCGACTTTTGTCAAACAAACCAAACAAGGCAGCCAGCAAGGCCTCACCGCGACCTACCCCAGCAGCGAAGAAGGAGAAGACAGCCGCGAAAGCTTCCAATGTCAAACCACTGTCTGCTGAGTTTGTCGGCGATTCTGACGATGATGATGTGGAGGTGGTGCCTCGCAAACCAATCACCAAACCCGCCAGTGCCATGGCAAAGAAACGCCAACGGGATGAGGAGATTGAAACTAGCGACTCGAGCATTCCGCTGAGTAAGAAGGTCAAGAAAGATGCTCCTGCCACAAACCACCGTGTCTCTGACGCAAGCCAAACTTCGCGGACCACGGCTACATCTTTCCAATCCTCGAATACGGTCAAAACGAAGGATACATCTCCGCAGAAATCTTCTCCATTGGCTTCATCGCCACCCACCAATGCCTCTGAATTTGACCGAAACTCTGGGCACCGAACCACGTCGTCGTCTTCCACTTCTCCCGCATCACACGCTGTGCCCAAAACATCTCGGTCGCCTATCCAAAAGCGTCATCACAAATCTCCCTCTGTATCCTCTTCAACCTCGTCCAATGGCTCTACTCGGACATTGCGACCAGAGGTTCTGGAGTTGGCCAAGAAATATCGCGTTTTTTACCCTTCTTACACCAAGTTACACAAGGAGTTGTCGAATTTGAAGTATCGTGACCGTCAAAAGGAGGACGATCTCCTCCAGATGCACGCACGATTAGCCGACATGAAAAAACGGATCATGGAAGGCGTCCAGGAGAATTAACGACTTTGGGGGGTGTTTTTTCCTGCTTTCTTTCTTTCAACGATTTGATGTATATTTGAACTTTTGGCTTGGGGCGTTTTTATGGCAGGGAAATGGGAATATGGGAAGCATATGGCTGCATAATGGGATGGGAAAACCTGGAGTTTTTTTGAGTGAAATCTGAATCGATTTTCAGGGTTGAGGTAGCTCCCCTTTTGTTTTGGTTGGTTTGGTTGGCTGTTTTGTAGCATAGAACGATGAATTAGATGGAACGAGAAATGAGAATGAGAATACCAATACCTACCTACTATATGAATTTGGTTTTACGAATGTGTTGGGGCAATGAAGTGAAATGTGAGAACTTACGCGAAGGGGGAGGGGGTTCGTTAATGGGTTATTGATATTGGTTTTTGGGGAGAGGGGAGATTGTTTGAGGTTTTGGGGGGTGTGAGGTATTTTGAAAGATGGGAGGTTAAGTGAAGTGGAGAGTATAGGTATTATATAGAGTAGAGAAGAGTAGAGACTCAAGAGGTTAGAGTAGAGGTTAGAGTAGAGGTTAGAGTAGAGGTTAGAGTGGAAGTAGTATACTAGTATATCCCCCTTTGTGTGACGGTTCTAACCGTCACCACCATTCGGATCACGTGGTCTCGCTTAGCGACCCACACCAAGTATTTAGATCGAAGCTCTCTCGAGCTCTCCTCTTCTCCTCAGCTTAGAATCTTTGTTTAATTGACAGTTCTACGATTCCACAACCTACACCGTGGGCCTTGCGTACGTGTCGTCACACTTTGCAAAAGTAAAATCTTACCTAGGTAGTAAGATTCTAGGCTCTCTGGGTAGGGTATGGTATTCTACTAGGCTACACTAGTGTATTACGGGGTATTTTACAAGGGGTTTTACTTGTATATGTGCTTTTTACATGTGTGATTTATCTAGGTACTCTTGCGAAGGGAATGTGGTAGGTAGGGTTTAGCGGAATGTCTTGGTGTATAGGTAGGTAGTTTTGTGAAGGGGCTATGGGAGGTATGGGAGGTAGGGGGATGGGTAGGTGGGTGCTTTTTTTGAGGGGGGGGGAGGGAAGGGAAGGGGG